GGCTCGGGGCAGGCTACACCTTTCACTTCCCGGCCTATAAATCCAGCTCCTCACACCCTATTGGCATATTCATCGCCCTGATGACGGAGGAAGTATGACCTCTGAAACGTTGGTTAACATCGACCAGACTACACAGCGCAATAACCCAGAAGACGGATATCTTCATGAACAATTAAGGTCGACACATGTATTGGATCTTAATAAATATTGAGTCTATAATAATGTGGGTTTGTAGACAGACTGTCAAACTAACGAAGTCTGTTGTCTGTAAGATATTGCACATTCTATTGCAGGACCGAGTTATGCAGTGGATTCAGCATGTTCATCCAGTTCATATGCGTTTGAGCAGGCATATAGAGCCATTCTCAATGGATCTTGTGACTCTGCTATTGTGGCCAGTGCCCAACTTTGTCTTCATCCGTACCTGTCTCTTTTCTTTTTTCAAATCGGTGTGTTAAGCCATCAAGGCAGGTGCAAAGTCTTTGATAATGATGGTAAGCATAGCTCAGCCATGATATTCTGTATTTTGTTATTCTCTGGCAACGTCATTTGGTGTCTAGTGTAATGGAACTTCTCACTGCTTTGTCTTTCATATGTGACCCCATCAAACCAGTCATTGTATTCAACACTTTTTAGCACTTTAAGTGCAACAGGGAACTTTTTATCATTACTGCATCGCTCAATGAGTAAGGAAATTTACATCTGAGGAGGTGTTGAAAGTTACAATTGTGCGGCCATGATTCTTGCTTTGTAGTTACGAGGTCTAGTGTTTGAATCTCAGCTCAGAGGCCAACTGTCCTGAGTAATGGAGCTATAACTTGGGAGAGGAGGCTATCTCTGACCCATATGAAATGTTATTGTTTTGTGTGTAAAACTCATCCCTACATTTATACCAGACTTATAATTTACATCTTCATGTCTGTGACTAGTCAATCAGTAATTAATCCTTATTTACAATAGCTGAAGCAGTCATTTAAAATGAGTTCAGACTGCAAGATTGTCTCTGCAGTGTTCTTAAAGTAAATAACCTCTTGACTTCCTGCTTTCCCATTTATACAGCTGATGGCTATGCACGGAGTGAGGCTGCTTGTGTGATGTTTCTGCAGAAGACTCGCGATGCAAAACGTATATATGCCACAGTGGTGCATGCAAAGAATAACAGCGATGGCTTTACGGATGAGGGTATCTTACACCCCTCCAGACATGCGCAGAAATTGTTGCTAGAACAGTGTTACCAGGAGTGTGGCATTGATCCCAGTGCAGTAAAATACATTGAAGCACATGGAACTGGAACCAGAGTATGTATTTTCAAGTTTTATTTTCCTGCACACAGTCAGAAATTAAGTGCTGATAAAATTAACATCTTTTTGGCCTTGGTTAGAGTGTCAGATGGTTACAACTTTGTTTTGGCATAGATTTGGGTAAGGGAGGGAATACT